AAAAAAAAAAAAAAAAAAAAAAAGAATTCAACGTTTCTTTCTTTGGCTCAAGCTAAGGTTCTTCACACAACAGATCATTAGAAACGAAAGCCACCAAGTGTGGAATTTGAGAGGTACAAATAAACGTATTTGTAAGTCACTCACTTGAACACACACTAAATCCCGATCCACAGCACTGTTCTTTGAGGAGGATAGCCTCCTCAATATTGGGTTCATATTTGAACCAGATGTTTGCCTAAGACAGTGACACAAATTAAGCATGAACAAAAACTCTGATATAGGTTTCATTGACACTGCAGGACATTACACACAAAGTAAATTCACTTAATTACATATATTTCAATTGTATTTCTCAGATTACCCCACCCCATGGCCTACATTCACTACATTTTAACCAAAATAAATAAACATAAACATACCTGGACAAACTTGTGGGAATTGATGCATCGCTTCCTTTGGAAACCCTGCTATTATTGTAGTCATCATCATCATCCTTTTCTGGGATAGAGAAAGGTACTATGGGAACTCTTGCTGGCTATAAAGCAAAAATGTAAGAGCAGAACTTGGGATCCTCAAAGACCTTTTGGTAATGGGTAACACGGTACAGTTTCAAGTGAAAAAAATACAAACAAACCCCACAGACCATTCCAACTGCTCTCTTGCGCTGAGATCCTGTCCTCCAGCCTGGTAGTTGGTCATCTGGTGCTCCACCAAGGGAGTCCCTCCTGAAGGACAGAGAACAAAAAATGTCAGATGTTCCCCCTTAGAAAAAGCCATCTGGGAGGTTGAGAACCACTTTATTCTTACCCTGAACTAAAAATACTTGAGAGCTGCAAGTCACCTGTCCCATCTGACGTTCTGCTTACTTTTTGTAACTCTGAGCCTTTATTGACAGAGTTCTGTGCATTACTGTTTGCTACTGACAGAAAGAAAACACAAAATATTTAGAAGAGAAAAGCATAACTGGGAAAAGGGCATTATTACATTTGAGCTCTATTGTGACTTTCTACTGCTGGACAGTCAAGTCAAACAGCAACATGTATATAATGACACAAGATAAACATGAATGCTCACCCGGTAAATTTTCCTTATCCTTTGAACTCCATAGTTGTGCTTTTCCATTCTGAATGCTTCGCAAAGCAGCCTCCAGCTGTTCTTTCGGTTGGGCACCCACCTGAACAGCATTCTGCAATATGTAGATGCCTCTCTTTGCGTTGCCTGGTAAAGTGTTAGAGATTAAATTAAATATTCTACACAGCATTTCTTGAGAACTGGCACATGTTCTGAAGGACAAACATTTCTACCTTGAGAAATCTCAAACTGTGCATGTGCAATGTGGACAAATGCAAAATTCTGGCTGTGGGACCTTGCCACGTTGAAGTTATCCTCTGCCTCACTGACATCTTGAATTCTAATAGAAAAATAATAATAAATGACCCAGTGAATGCACAGATGAAAATATAATTAAACCAAGAACAGGATTTCTACTCACGCTTTCAGCTCTGCAAATCTGACCAACATCCTTGCGTAGCTCTCATTGTGACAGTGTTTTCCCAGTGGCATATTGGAGAACACCCTTGTATAAAAGTCAATGAGCCTGGTGAGGTGATTACTATCCAAGTGAGGGTCTCCTTTTTTCTCCAAGTCCATCAAATATGAAAGGCATGATTCGGGTGAGTTTGAGCCAATGACCTGGTTAATATTGTCTGTGTCATCTGTAACAAGCACAAAGTGTCACAGTTATGCACGGCAATGCAGACATCTGGCATACATGACTACTTGTTAATCCTTTGTTACCTTCATTGAGATACTTTTTAATTTTGTTAAGCTTTTGATAAAGCATAGCAAGTTTCTGCTTTCTGTCTGTGTGCTCCTCTTCCTCCATCTGAAACGATGAGTTCAGTCAACACAAATAACAAATGAGCCCAAATGAATATAAGCATTTTGCTTGAATAACAAGAACACAAAATCCAGCACAGAAAATGTGATTTAATGTTAATATGACGCGTTTATTAACAGTTATTAATAATGGGGAGCTAGGACTGCAGACATTTAAAAAAAAAAAAAATCCAGAGCTGTTGTTAAAGGAGTAACCAACACTGAGACAATTCTCAGTATTTAATTAACATTAAGTTACCAGTTTTGTGTGATTTCTCATTCTAAGGTGAGGAATACCTAGAAGGTACCATATGCTGGCTTGGTGAGCAGCAAGAAATAACCTAGATAACAAGTTGAAGACAAGTTACAGAACAAATGCTTTCCTTATAAACCTGGATAGCTTCGTGTTTACAATCGGGGCTAGCTCATTTTCTGGCTATGTAGCATGTAGCAATTTTGCTCAAGATAACTTGCTCATCAAATCTCCCCACTGTGCCGAAGACTCGCGCACTCAAGTGAAGTTAAACACGCATTAGAACATTTTTAAAAACATGACGTTAAAGTGCAGTAAAGCGCAAACCATCTCACCGTGTTTAGGCCTGCCACAAAAAAGTCTCTTGCGACGGGAATTACAGCACAATATACTGGGAAAAAGGCTCGACTTCAACTGCCAGATTTCAAATATGCCACTTCCGTTGGCGTTGTGTATTGATTGGGTACTTTGTGATGACGTCACGATGCGTTCAGATTACAAACAAGCAAGACGACAATAATAAAGGATAAATATAAGGGAGACGCGTGTCTCTCTAAACGTTTTTGAGAAGTATCTATAGATATTTACCAGCGCGTTGTAATTTTTATAATTACTTCTAGCTTGTATTTTGAACGTGTATAAATTGAAATATGCAAATATTTTTCAAGGAGGGGCTCAGAGCCGATCTCTGATGTAATCTCGCTGTCCTCATACGTGTCCTGTATCACCCTCAAATACTTGTCTACCACTTTGACTTCCATATTTCCTCTCTTGGCACCCTATGATGCTGTATATGCTTTCTGTAGGTCCACAAAGACACTGACCTTCTCTATATGTAACCATTAACACTCTCAAAGCCAGCATAAAATCTGTAGTGCACGTTCTTCGCCATAAAGCCATACAGTGCATGTCTTCTCCATTCTCTCCTGTATTACATACTCTCCCTTTTTTTTCCAACAGCACTTGAATACAGCACAATCACGCTTCCTGTGTTTCTGCTCCTCCCAGTTCAAAGATGGCAGCCATGGGACAGAGACGAGAGACGACACAAATTTAGGACTTTTGTCATGAAACAAAACTGGGTTGCGGAGCTGATACCTCCATTGTTTTGACATAACAGTGAATTAAACTGTCACCGCCAATGTGTCGTCGTAGGAATAGTTTAAAAGGGTTCAGAAATATGTTTTCCTGTGGGCTAAGCTAGCAAGCAGAGGTTAGCAAATAAATGAACTTGTCTCTTCTGCCACACAAGAAGGAAGCAGTTGCCTTTCATACGGTCTATTGGCATCTTATAAGGTGAGTTTGTATCTTTTTTATGATTGTAGAGACGCATATTTTATTAGTAGGTACAGCTCGGTTGTTTTCATGAGTAAAGAACTTGCATTGTTAACGTTAGCCTTAAGCTCGGTCTTATTCTATGGTGAATAAATACGGGTTCGTATTTCAGTGAGGTGCTCGTGGCACGGCTCTCGAGATTAAGTGTTTATAAAAGCTTACAGATTTTGTTTTTGCGCAGTCCTGTGTAAATATTCGTCTGCTTTGCTGCAAGTGGAGCATACAAGTGATGTCCGTACTTGCAAAATCAGATGCGGAAATCTTTCCTTTTCTTTCCCACCAGCTCAATTTCATCATGGCCATCTCTCAGTTCCGTCTATTTAAGATCTGCACATGCCTAGCCAGCTTTCTTTCTTTCTTTAAAAGATTAATATGCAGGTAAGCACAAATGCATTGTCCATTACAGCATGTATGAGACATTTATCTTTACACTACTACGATATTTTTGAAAATAAAATAGGAGATATGGATTTAAAAAATATTGTTCTAGCTTTATGAAACTCACAGCAACTCACAGCATTTACCACAATTTTTGCATGCATCAGCTCCACAACTAGAGATCCTTTTTTGTGCATGTGCTGGATGCAAGGTTGTCACAATGCACAGTAAAGAGATTTGATTGTGGTGTTCAGTAATGTGCAGTTTCTGCTTTTTATAATAATGGAGAGTTTAATTTCATTGTGTAACACAGGACTGGAAGGGGCCGCAAACTCAGTGGTGATCAAATAACTCTCCCAACAACAGTGGATTTTTCATCATCTGTACCAAAACAGGCATGTACTGCAGCAGTCATCAGCAGCTGCTTTGAGAAGAGGCTGCCATACAGGAGACACAATTTTCTTGTTTTCATAAACAAATAACTTTCAGGCACTATTGTGTTTTTATTAGTTTATTTATTAGTTTATTTTTATCTGCACAGGCAGAGATTGAGGAATGGAGCTCTTGGGATGAAGAGGCTCCTACAAGTATTAAGATTGAAGGTGGCAACGGCAATGTCTCCCCTCCACCCAACGATGTAGATGAAGAGCCGGACTACTTCAAAGACATGGCTCCCACCATCAGGAAAACACAGAAGGTATGTCTGCAACAAGTCAAAGCAGTTGGTGCCATGTCTATGAAAGTGTATAACCCCTTTAAATTTGTCTTTTATTAAGTAAACTTCACCTGTGAGGCTCAGCTCCTTATTTGTGGTGAACTTTGACCATGTTTGCTGAGTATACACAATTATACCAGTGTAAATGTGACAGAAAATAAGGTGAAGTGTAATAGGGCCACTCTATGTCATGGAATTTATAGTTTGTTTATGTGGTGTATGTTTTTTAACTGAAGAGTCTTAGGTGTCATTACAATGTCAGAGATGGAAAACCGGTTATTTTTGTAAATGAGGAAAAACTGTAATGGCAAAAGAAAAAAAAAAAAGAAGCCGTGACTATTGTGTTTGACTTAAGCAAACATGATACAAAATACAATGACGATGCGGAAAACAGTTGCCGCTTCAAAGAGAAAGGCTACTATTTGTTTTCCAACTGTTTTAAATGGATCCATGCCACAGAAAATTCTAATAATAATATTATAACTGTAGCTGGTGTCAGGCTACTTACAAGGGGCTGTTAATAAAATGTATATTCTATTAGAAACTTAACAGTAACATCTAGAAGTAATTTGCACAAACAGTGTCGATCTTAGTCTTTGTTTTTTACTCAGTTTAGAAATGGGCAGATGTAAAACAAGAGACACGCAGTGCAGAGTTTCATTTATGTATTCTATTGCAATATTAAAACTTTAGCTTTGATTTCCTGTAATAACAAGAAATGGCATCTAATATATAATTCTATTTGTTTGTTTTTAGCAAATCTATTTGTTTATTTTTAGCAAATTCTTAACTGGTGTCTAAACCAAGAAGCATGACATAAATATTCTGTAGGCATCCAGATACAGTAAAGAGTAAAGGTTTTGCTATTAATGCTTTAAATGCGATTAAATGTTTCTTGTGATCCAAACCCATGGCTTTTGCTTGAAACGTCTTCTTTTGATACATAGCCTGATAATTCCTGCAGCCACGGATTAGAAGTTTTTTGAGTGCAGAAGTAAAGTGCTTTTAAAATGTTGGGTTTGTCATTTCTAGACATACAATTTTTGTAGTGTAACAGTGTGATTGCTTGAAAATCTCCCATTCTCAGCTTGTCCTTCCTATTAATAGTTGAGCAGCGATTCAACATTAACTCCTTTTACTTTGACTCTAAGCGCCTCTTCTTCTTTTTTTGGTTTTCATATTGAAGATTGTGTTGAAGAAAAGGGAACCTTCGAACTATCTGGTGCCTGATGGCTCAGCAGGCTTCTCCAGCAGGTTGGCAGCCTCTCAGGATATGATGACTTTCATTCCCCCCTCAGTAAGTTACACTATTGTTGGAAGACTGTTTATGTTTTACACTATGTATGCTAATAATGTTATAATTATGCAGGAGAATTAGTTGGCCATCAAAGGAAAGCAAAACTTGTTTTATCAGTAAATAGGCTTGTGAAAAAAATTATTAAAGCTGCAGGACTTGAATCTTAGAACACCCAAATGTCAGAATGACTCAGTAAGCCTTCAAAATAATGCACCAATCCCCTTCTCTTATTCCACTGGTTCAGTAAATTTTGATGCAGTTTGCAACACTCTAGTGTGAACTGACGTTTTTGATGTATTAGACATCAAAGGCTCCCGACTAAAAATGTTATCATAGTGTTATCTCTGTATATAAGACTGCAAACTGTCAATTTCCACAGGCTGAACTGGGTGAAATGGACACCTGGCAGGAGGACACAAATGCCTGGGAGGATGAGTCTGATGCTGCCTGGGAGGCAGAGGAGGTGCTCAGGTAAATGGACCAAGAGTTCATCTGCTTCTATATACAGCAAATACCAATTTGCTACCTTAACTAACCAGTTATGACACAACAACAGGAACAAGGACTGTTTTTTATGTTATTAACCATGTTAAGATTCCAAGACTGAGGAATGCACAACAACAGGTTTCATGGCCACATACAACAATCTGTCTGTATTGATACAGAAAAACATTTTTTACAACACAACACAGTTGTAAAAGATTATTATTCACAATCCTTATGTTAATGCACACCAGGTTATAGTTGGATTTCTTAACTGTCATCTAAATGACCCCAAGTAGATACCTCCTGTGAAATGCTGTTTTTTATTTTATTTTTAATTGTACTTTTTGCAGACTAGGGGGAAATTAAGTAAAACAAGAAAGTGATCAAACCTTTTATTATGCCAACACATGTGTTCCTTGCATCTCTTCCTCACACCTCCTACCAGTGAGGACAGAGGTGTCTAAACTGAAAAATAAGAAATCTTTGCTTCCAGTCTTACAGCAGAATTTCTTAATCTTGGTGTAAAAAACATAGATTGTTAACATAGCTGGTTATTAGCAGTTAATTCCTATTTAGTTTCTCTAGTTTCCTTTTAGCTCATCCTCTATTACAGGGGTCTCAAACTCGCGGCCCGGGGACCGCTTGCGGCACACATCACCGGTGCTTGCGGCCCTTATATTGACGTAGAAATATAATACAGTTTGGTCCTTGAAGTTACTTTTTTGTTGGGGAGGATTTGTTTGTTGCTGAGTGCAATGTTAAAATAAGTTTTTTTATAAGCAGAAAATTATCTAATATGAAGGCAATATGAGCAGAGAGTACAAACATGTGTTAGTTCAGTAAGAGAGTTATTTGTAAAGAGAAAATTTTTTGCTAGCAGACAAAAACTAATGTGTACACATATGCCTGTATTTTTATTTTGTTAGATATATATATATATATATAAACTTATAGCAGAAGACCTTCCACGTGTCTGGCCAGAAAGAGAGTACCAGTCTGGTTATGTGGTAGTTCAATGATTGGCTACAGTTAGTTAAGAGTGAGGAAAAAGAATTGCGTTCACGTTTGCAATTTTGTCTTGTTATACAATATATTAAAATGGAAAAAAAAAAAACCCCACTGTATTTTCAGAAATCTTTTTGGGTGTTTTCTTGTTTGTTCGGGGTTTTTTGTACTACTTGAACACTAAAGTGGATCGCCAATGAGATGACAGTGCCAGCAGTGGCCCACAGCTCACATAAGATTGACACCCCTGCTCTAATAAAAAACAAAAACAAAACTTGAATTATTCTATCTGCACAACAACATGGCTCTATAAAAGTATTTTAATTCATTTGTTTTTATCTCACACAACTCAAAGAAGTCTCGTGAGCCCATTATGCTCGCCGTCTCTTGTTGACGGCACTGCACGTCAACAGTGGTCTCACATCCGCTGCCAAAAGCTGCACTTTGGCATTTCGGTTGTTTGTGCACCTCGCGTCTTTGTAGTTAGAACACGAGTGTACAATGTTGGGGTTTTTTGTTTTGTTCTTTTTGGAGGGGCAGGGGGTTATTGTTGTTAGTTTTTTTTGTTTTTGTACTGCTATTTGATGATCAGTACAGATGTTCAGGTATTCACAGATTATACAGATACAGATGACTTTGTGGGAAACCCCAAACAAACAAAAAAAACTACTTCTTTGCTTCTGGTTTTGACTTCTCTTCCTATGCTTGCACTGATATGGAAGATTTGTCTGAGTGATGACCTATCATTGAGTAGAATACGCCAGCCGGTACTCGCACCCTCAGTGCTGGTATAAAGTGATACCGAACTGTGGCGACATCACTGTTTGCACACAACATCAATACAGCGAGAATAATGGGCCCATTATATTTCTTCTTGTAGTCATCACTTTTCTAAATGTGTATGTTCATTTCATGGCCACCAGATGACAGTGTTTGATAATACTTTGTCGGCAGTGGCACAAAAAGCAGGGTTTTGTTTTCCTCCCTTCTCAGCTGACCTAGCTTTTTGGTGACATGCTTTGGTGTGACATCACTTCCTGTCACCTATTTATTTATTTTTTTTACCTATAATTTTGTGTTTTGTTTTTTAAACAGACAACAGAAGATAGCTGAGAGAGAGAAGCGCTTCATGGAGCAGCAGAGGAAAAAGATGGAGAAAGAAGCTCAGAGAATGATGAAGAAGGAGCAGAAAATTGCCGTCAAGCTCTCATAACATTTTAAAGAGGCTCACTTTTGAGCAACAGGAATTGGGGGTGGGGGAGGGGCAAAGACGCTAGCTCTGTCTTTAAAGTCACCAAACCTACCAGGATTCTTACTGTACACTACTCACATGTTAGCAGATTGTCCTCCTCCTCCTTTTTTCCACCAGCAGCATTTTAGTGTGTTTTCCAGCTGCAGCAGCATAAAACATGGCAATGTTGAGG